CAACAAACAACTATCTTTATATTTTGTACCTATTGGCCTCGTACTCCTGTCCTGGAAAACCAATCAACAACAAAAGAACACCCAGCAAGAACTCCATCCTCAAACAAGACCTCAGAAACTTACACAAATCCTCTCCTCTCATCATTTCAGGAATACAAGATGAGCAGTGCATCATCAGCTGCAGTACAGTTTTGTAATTACCTGATTGCATAACAGGAGTCTCCAGCCACAACACAGGTAAAGATGAGCAGCAGTGACCAGTGTGATATCTTCATGTACACAGAAGACAGAGGAATGTCATTTTGTTGTCCCTGCCATTGGTTGAGGATTTATTCTGCTTTATGAGCCATGTAGAGGAATTAGAATTATCCACTTCAAAACATCTCCAACAATAAACTCAATGTCTTTTCTCCACTATCATGCTCCTATTATTCTAACAGATTTGCAAATGAATATCTCAGATTATGTAATAAAGTCTAGGAACAAGATAGAAGGTGTCCCTGCTGAGGTCCTGGATTCATTGTGCCCAATTCAGGTTAGATGTGAAGGAACAGTATCTCTCACAGCTGGATGGTAACAGCTTCTAGTTGCAGGACAGAAATAGATCTGCATGTACCACTTAGTGGTTAGTAAAGGCTGCCTTTTGGTATCTCAAAGGCAAGGTCAGGTTTTCTTCGTGCAAAGTCTGTCTTTCCCTCAGTTTACCAAAGCATTGAAAGTTTGTCTGCAACTTGTGTTTGTTTGCCTATTTGTGTAACCTCACTTTGTGGGGTGAGTGGCAAAGTCCCAGGCTGCTGCAAAATGAGGACAAGCCCAAACACAGCAGCTGAGGACACAAAAATGAAGGAAGAATATTTGCTCACCCTTGAAAGGCCTCAGGCCTTTCAAGTATGCAGGGACCTCCAGCAAGATACACCTCCCGTGGGTTGGCCCTGCCTTCCCACCAGGTGCTCCATCACTGCTTCAAGCTGTGACTCAGCACTTTTTTTTTTTTTTCTTTTTTTTTAAGCTTTATTTTGTCAGGAAAGCAAAGCAAACAAAACCCAACTAACAAGATTTATTCTGTGTGGGTAATAAGGTCTCCATTCTGATCTGGTTTTCAATCCAGCAGATTGGATCAACGTGCCACATAAATCAACAGAGTAACAGCAGAAATCTGGGGGAGAACAAGCATCCTTGTAACTGCTGGTGAGAGCCAAAAGCCAAGGAACAAAAGCCAAGCACACACAATAGAAAAAGGCCTTCAAAAACATTGCTACAAACAGATGACAGATGCACTACTTGAAAAGACAAATGCCATTCAGGACAATACAAGAGAAGTGCCCAGAGCATATAAGTAAACCACTTTCAGAAGTAAAAAATGTTGTACTAACTCTGCTTAGAAAACCTGTTCACATTTATGCTAATCTACAGGCAGAAGAAGCAACACCTGAATAGCTCTGCCCTTTTTTTCTTCACTAACAGTTAGAAAGGGTTTAAGAAGTCAATCTGCATTCATTGACAGTCACTGCTCATGCTTACATTGCAAATAAGATACAATAATCGCAGGCCTGTGTTTCACAAAAAAAAAAAAAAAAAAGTATTGATTTCTACAGCCTCTGAGGAGTCAAGCCTAAGAAATACACTGCAAATAATCTGTTGATACTGAGACTGCTGCCATAGACATACTTCTAACACAACTAATTAAAAAAAAGACAAAAAACATGAATTTAAGGTCTTACAGCAGTGTCATGGCTGAGCACTCAGAACAACTAAGGGAAGGGAGGCTCCCAACACCCAGCCTCCTGCTTTGAAAGGGACCAACATCACAGCACTGAGATGCCAGCCTGGCTGGGCTGATAGAACACAGCAGAAGCTACAGCAGCACCTGCTGACTAGGAAGGCCATGCTATCCACGCTCTGTACTTACAGTTTTTCTAAACAGAACAGCTCTCTAAAAATACTCCTGGTGAGCATCAGAAGGCACAGCCCTCCCACTGCTGGTGCTGCGCCACGTGCGCAGCCGCACGGAGATCCACCCACCTGCATCAAAGGCTGCACATCAACAACAGGAAAACAGATATGTCAGTATCTGAAAGTGACAGGAGGCAAATTTTTCCACTGAGAACACAACTCCCTGGGGCTAATTAAAAAAATAAATCTATTTGAAAACACATCGACTTGAATATTTCAATTCAAACTTACAGTCCACGTAATAAGCACAGTAAAGCTATTTCTAGCACTCCTAAAAGCTATCATCTATTACGCCACAGACACACAGCTTGGTTTGGGTCTATCACTTCTGCATCCCTGATGAAGCAATTGGCAAGGTAGACAGGCTGGAGTGCAACTGGGTATTGCAACGCACACACAAATAGCCCAAACGTTACTGCAGCAGTGCAAACAAACACCCATGACTCAGAGCTGCCTTCCAACCCTTGCCCCCAACAGGTGAAAATCTACACACTCACACCATACAGAACTCCTATTGTGAGTTTATGGATTGCAAACATGGAGATACGGGGACTTTTTAGCATGTTACAGCATGTTACATCTGAGCTTGGGGGAGGGCTTTAGGAGCCATACAAAGGTGACTGCTGACCTTTTTCTTAAAGTGAACACCTATTTACTCAGCAGTAACTTCAGATTAACCACGTTGATATGCGTCAGACAAACATCCCAGAAGGAATAAGCCAATAAACCTCTACTGCACACAGAGAATCAAAAGTATTGGTTCCTTTTTTACCTCGGAGTCTAAAGCAAGACATACAGAAAATGTATTTCCCCTGGAAAAAAAAAAAAAAAAGCAATAAAAACCAAACAGTTCTGCAATAAGTGAGTGGCTGTTAGAAATGCTACACTAAATGATGTATTTGGATTTCTTCTATAACTGTGTGGTCTATAACCCTAGATCTCCATCAGTCTATAGATTAGTCGGAACTGCGGGTTATTTCAGTTAAATAGATGTCCGTTGTAACATGGAAATATTATCTTCTGAAAATATAGAGATCTTGTCACTTCTTTGATATTTACTCACATTTTAAAATCAACTTGTTAAATACAGACTGTCTTAACTCACTTGCTTCATCCTTCAGACTTTTTTTTGTCTCTAGGTTCTGCCAACCTTCAAATATTCTCCTTCAATCACATGTCCTGGCACAATTCTCATTCCCCTCAGTATTCCTCAGCGTCCTCTGGGAAATTTGCCAGTTTTGTCATCTGCCCCCATTCTCCTTTGGGAACATTAAAGCAAGGAATTAATTTCATTCTCTCCCCGAGCCGTGCCTGTGTCTGCTGTTAGTAGTTACCCTTGGCATCTCTCAGCCTTTCAATACACAAATGATACACCTCCTTAAGTGCTCCCACAGTACTTAAGAGATTCATAAAACGTCCTGCTGAGAGATATCTGCACTTGCTTGTTTTAGCATCGTGCAAAAGAATTAAGCTGAAAGATGCAGTACCGATATTTCTATTATGTGTGCCCTCACCATCCCATTTTCTGCTACTTTCCACAATTGTTTTCTACGTATTTATATATTTTTATATCATTTTGCTCAGTGTCTGATCTGAAGTCTTCCAGAAGGAACTCCTAAGAAGTACATCGTGTTCTCTTAGGCACCAAAGAAATCCAGTTCCAATATCGGCTTTTTTCCTGCACGAGCATTTTCTACTAAGGAACATTTCCTTCTTGAAGAAGATGCTATTCAGATCCGCTTCCTTTAAATTGCATACTCACTTCTTCATCTGACAATGAAAGGAAACTTCACAGTTGGCCAAAGATGAAGAACGTTATCAAATATTAGACTTATGCATCCCAGTTTCCTACTGTAATGAACACTGGAGGACGTACCACAGCATTTCAGGAAATACCTGGGCAAGTTCAATATATCATTCTGTTCCATTCTGCCACCAGCTTCCCCCTCGGTTATTGAGTTCTTTGCTATGTGTACGTGCCCAGATTGGCAGCCGTCAGACTGGAAGCATTTGTTGTGGTTACCTCTTTAACTTCCACACTAAAATACCATCTGTATTACCAACTCGGCACAGCAAAGGCTGCACCATTTACAGTACGGTGGCTGCAGAACAAACCAAAGCCTTTGCTAAGCTGTCCGTGGGTTTGTTTACCCAGAGAGCCCTCATTTTTGCAAAGAGGCAGTGAAAGTTGACTAAATATCTAGGTGCGTGGCATTCCTTGAGGCTGATACAGAGCACAGAAGAAATAACACTACTGACAATAAATGTTAGATACAATTACTCAGCCTGTCAGTATCTGACCAAAGCCATGTTTGGGCTGGAGAGACCCCAGCTACCTGCTGCAGGACCTGCAGAAAGGCAGCTCAGCGGCTCCGAGCCTTTATTTCTCGTGCTCCAAGCAGGAGCAGCTGTCAGCTTGGCAAAACAGGTTACAGAACTCATATTAGTACTGCCATCATCATTAAGGAGAGGCGGCAGGAGGACAGATCTCCGGGGAACTCACAAACTCCTCCACTGGAGAACCCCACCGTGCAGCACTGCGGGAAGGGAAAGCGGGAAAGCTGCAGCGGGAGAGAATGTGAAGGCTCAGGAAAAGATTTGAGTACAGCATCCAGAGAAGGAGGGAAAACTCTAGAAACGCAGAGTACCCCCTATAGGACAGATGCGTGGTATGCCAGGTAGGGAAACAGCAGGAGTCGATCGGAGAGGACAACAACGAACTCTACGGGGACGGCCGGTACCTCACAGCCCCCGTCTTTAACTGAGGCCACGGGGCACAAACCAGAACCAGCGCAAAAGAAATGCCAGTAACAAAAGCAATAATTGGAAGCGAAGAGCCGGGCCCCAGGAGATGGGAGGGCAGGGGCGGCCCGCCTCGCACGCTCTCCTCGACCGGCCGCGGGGCACCCAGCGAGATGGGGCCGGCGGTGCAGCCGCCGCCCGCAACCAAAGGACGCGCCCCGGGGCGGCGATGCCAGAACCCGCACAGAGGGAGAACCCCAGGGAGCCGCTCCTCCGAGTCCAGCCCTCCGCCGCCGCTCCCTTACCTGGCTGGCTTTGTGAAACTGCTTCTTGAGCCCCGCCACGGACATCCTCCCGCCGCGGGCGGCTCCCCGCGGAGCCCGTACCCCGAGGCGGCTGCCGGCGTGCGGCGGCTCCGGGCAGCGATCCGCGGCCTCTCGCTGTGTCACCCGCACCGCCGGCCCCGGAGCCCCGCGCGGGTGGAAACATCGCGTTCCGAACGGGCTCGGCGGTGCCACCCTATTGGCCGCCGTTCGTGCCCATGCAAATGACACAGCCGGAGTCGCCCGCCCATTGGACGCGCGCGGGGGACTATGCAAATTGAGCGCCCGAAGACGTTTACGCTACGGTGTTGTGTGAAGACCGCAGAGCCGGCGGACTCGGCCCGCACTGCGCTGCCGGGGGGCGCAGCGCTGCGGGGCTGAGCGGCGCGGGGTCCGGCTGCCTGCTGTCCAGCTATCCGGCTGTCCAGCTGGGCCTGCTTTCCTCTTTGTAGGTCTCACTGCTACACAACATCTTAACTAAATGGATGCTCTTAGCGCATGAAAGCTATCGCAGCAGTCCAGAGCGTGACTGCCTGGGGCTGTGCAGCAGAATAAGCCCACTCTGTGGCTGTTTTTTAATTATTATTATTATTTTTAAAGGAGCAGCAGGAAGGCCAGGAGAGCTGCGCAGATGGGTGGCTCAGCTGTGTGCTTGGTTGCTGCAGGATGAAGCGATTGCACACATATGTCTGGTTGTGGGTCAGCAATGTACCCATAGGTAGGGGTGGTCTTGCCCCCCCAGCAAAGAGCTGGCACTGGGCTGTGAGGTCACTTGGCAGCTGGGAAGTGCTGAGAGAGAACCCTGGGTGCTTGCAGGACCACAGAGCTCTCACTGGCAGCCTGCAGGTTTCATTGGCCTGGGTGAGCGAGATGTTTGCAGAGCATGTTACAATTAGCTCACAGACTCATAGAGTTAAGGTTGGAAAAGACCGCTAAGGTCACCTAGTCCAACCGTCAGCCCATCACACCATGCCCACTAAGCCATGCCTCAGTGCCACATCCACTCTTTCCTTGAAAACCTCCAGGGATCTCCTTATAATAGCAATGAGGACAAGGAAATGATAATAAAGAAGAAAAAAAAAAAAAAGAAGAAAAAAAATCAAGGTAATTGTCCTATTATAAATTAAGAGTAAGGAATCGCTGTCCTACCTGCAACAATTACGTACCCCTGATATCAAGAGACTTGTCTCTGAGTTAAGGAACTCCAACTGGCTGCTATATTACAAAAGAGACTTTGTATCCGAGAGGCAAAAGCAATAAAAGAGAAAGCGATGAGGATAACCAGTTAACCCCCTGTGGAAGACAAATTGCAAGGAAAAGTCCTCTCAGGTTTTTGGACCAAATAATACTTGAAAGAAGTCTGCAGTCATGGTGCTGCCTGACGGCACTCAGTGGGGGGGGAAGGAGCGCTTTCAGCCTCGTTCCACGGTAACATGATTACACCACAGGCACCTGATTTCAGCACCAAGCTGTCTTCCTAATCAAACCGCAGCACGGTGCTCACTGCCCCGGCCACGTCAGGTACGGTGTGAATTAGTGAGGCATTCAGAGAGGCCACAGCTGGCAGAAATGAAATGAGCTGTTTTGAGAGAGCCGGAGGTGCTCAGAAGAGAGAGAAAAAAAAGGCCTGAACTGAGAAATTGGAGTCTTGTACATTGTATTAAAGCAAACTCTGAGCATACCATGGAATCAGGAGAAAGCTCTGACTAATCTTTGGCTGGAAGAAAGGGGAGACCAGAAGGAAGGAAGGAAGGAACTTAAAAGAAGAGACCGTGCAGGAGAATCGATGGATTATAGTCACTGCAGCTGTTAGCTGTAAAACTGGGTTAGATAAAAACTTGAGTAAGGCAATATGTCTACAGCTCCCTCTTTTCATCCAGCGTTACACTAGGGTAGAAGGTGTGCTGTTTCTGCTGAAGTGGTACAAGAATCTGCAAGTGCCCTGTGGAAATCCAAGTTCGTAGGCTAATTGCACGATAACACAGACAAGGTGAAAAATTAATTAAAATCCAACTTGAGTGGCCCAGGTGTTAACGATTCGGTAGAGACACTCTGAAAAAGGCTGGTTCAGATATAAGCAGCAGTTGTAGCTTGTAGCCAGTAATACAGACTGGGTAAGCAATATTTCAGGCTTTGTAACCACTATGGCTGTACATCATGGGAAAAGGGGCTGGGATTTGCTGGATAACATTCTTTACGTTTTGGGGAAAGTTGCTAATTCGATCTGTAAAATGAGGGAAATCAGACATAAAATAAAACCTCCAGGAAGTGGTACAGCTAAATGCTGACATGGTAGAAAAGAATCTTCTGTTGAAAAGAACTGTTATAAGCCAAAAGCAGGCCGCTACATGGCATGGTGAAAGAATACTTTGCAGAGTCTGGGAAACAGGGGGCCTTTGGTAGAAGAGTTCTAGATATGTCAGTATTTAAACAACTGCAATCCTGTTCCACAAATTCCAAAGCACTCGAGAACTACAGATGATGCTCCAACACATTTGTATAATCAATGGATATCAAGATGTTACAATCACAAAATAAACAAGAGAGTTAGGTGACGTGGACTATGATAACAAAAGAGGAAGGCTTATCCTTATGCTGGGCTCACCACAAAACACCACAAGGAGGGATCTCCAGCAGAGATCCTTCCCCACTGGTAGCCAGCTCTTAAATAGGTCCAGGACTGGGGGAGCCAGGCTCCACCCCTTCCGGCAGCACAGGAGAATTGCCTTCAGCTGTGCTCCTCTGGCTGGCTCATGGCTCGCCTCAGGTGATCAGAGGTTCAGGCCATGACTCAGTAGTTCCCATACAACATTGTTGTTTTAAAAAGGATGGTGAACTTTGTACAAACCGAGAACTCCTAACTGGATTTGAATCACAGTGGTGACTGGAAAATATGTGCTGGCTGCTTATGTGGTAGAATTGGGCTTGGAAACTGGTCCTGTGAAATTCAAGCAACATAGGTATCTGGATAAGCGGATGCATTCATAAGTCATTGGATTTCAGTGTGGCTATTACTTTGTAAGAAACCCAGCCTGCAGAAATTCCTCCTGAAAATGATTCTGGTAAAAGCAAACAACCTTATGGGCATTTGGTTTCCAATGAAGAAGTTTTAAGAGTTGAAACTGCAATAGTAGCCATGTGAAGTATTGGGTTTTGAGTAAAATAAGTACTGGTAATGTTAAAAAAAGATCTAGAGACAGCTTGGCAATTGATATTACTTGCAACCTGAAGCCAATCACATCCATGTTTACTTGAATGTCTCTTAAAAAATATGAGAAATCTGATAGTCACATTTGATCTGGGTCTTCAGTATTTACTGCCACCAAGGAAAACATCAAAAAGGAGAGAAAGATGAGTTTGTGATGAAGTTCCGTGAGATTTGATTCCAGGCCACACTGACTATAGGTAAAACACTTATTCCGTAAGACATAAATATTCAAAACAAGCTACTGTGCATTCACTTACCTGGCAATATTTTTTTACATGTGGCATTGGAAGGAGACTTTGGATGTGCTCGTCTGATACAGGACAAGAATAGCTCCAGGGGAAAACAGCCTATTGAGTAACCATGTTACTGCTTACCAAAACCAGGGTCGGTGAGAGAAGCCTGTGAGATCCACAAATGGGGCTTCTTTGTAATTTAATTAGAAATTAGCAACCCTAATTTCTGGATTTATAACAGAAAAATAAATGAGAATTATTTATGAATTATCTTCATGTTGAAGAAGTCTAATTTCCCATTCTTTATCTTCAAAATACTGGCAATAGAGAAGGAAAGCAAAATAAATATACGTATTTAAAAAAAAACAGTTTGTATTGCAAAGATGGATTACCCCAGGTAGCAGGTATGGCATTAGTGGAGCTCACTGGCACGGTTGGGCTAGTCTGATTTTCATGGAATGGTACATCTGAAGTGTACCATTTTTCACCAAGTTGTAAGATCCAGCAGAACATGTAGGAGAATTTTTTGAGTCAATCTATCTTGGTAACTCTGTTACAGTACCAAAATTATTTGTTGGCTCCTCCTTCCAATCTACCTAGCATCTGATAAGAAGGAAGAAGATAGAAGGTAAATATGGCAATTGGAATCAGCACCAAGCCAAGTAGCACCAAGCTAGTGTTCCCATGAAGGAAAAGCAAGGGGAGCATAAAGTGAATACTATTGCTCCCTGAACTTGGGTGTGACAGAGACTACATGCAACCTTTTGTATGAAATACCTAAAGGCAATGGACCAAGTGGAACTTGATACTTGAAAGAAAAAACTGCTAGAGGGGACTCGCAGAAGGCTTTGAAAATTAATTTGGCTTGAATATAAGATTGTGTCCTATTCTGAACATGTGAGAACTTCATTTGGTTCCACAGCTTTAGAAAGAGGATAATCTTGAACTGAACTGACCTTTCTGCAGAGTACTGGCAATTAAATGAAGTAATACACAGCACAGTGTTCTAGAGTGAAATCCGAAGGACTACAACACTTAAGGAAATTCATCCTGGGCAGCCTGGTCTGGTATTAGATATGTTTAAAACAAAACAACAACTAAAAGGAGTTAAGAAAACATGTGTGTATAGGTAGGAGGAGCAGACTAGCAGTAGGGTTTTGCTTCTAACCATAAGTAATTCTGCGTACCATAGCGCCTACAGTGCAGATGCACTGATTCAGGTGTTCCTGATGTGGCTTTGCACTGCAATGTACATTGCACAGAAAATGGAAAAAAAGCCAATAGTCTTTTCTATACAGCCAGAATTTGGAAAGCTTCCTGTTCCATATGGACACTGCTGGCAGTTGGAGCAGGACTGTGTGACCCTGGGGCCGGTAGACACTCTGGCTAACCTGCTTCATTTGTTTTGGATGCTTATGTTTGCTCTCCAGATCTTCCAACTAAATGTAGCTAGTGCATTGTTTTTGGCATTTGTGTTTGTTCTTCTCAAGCAGAATTTCCACATATTGCCTTACCATCATCCACATCTTTGCTTTTTGCCTCATCCCCTTCCTGTATTTGTTCTCTACACGCATCTCCATGATTCTGTGGATACTTTCTATCTTCATTTTTAAATTCCATGTTCTGTAAGTGTCAACAAAAGAAGAAAGCATGCTAGGTTTTATGCCATTAGATAATAAATACAGTTCAATTACATGTTTCTTTCTAAAAGGCATATAAACAAAC